ATTCGATTACGAAATTTCAACCCGGATTGACAACGACTACTGTGCGTTATAGCCCTAATCAGCATGCTTAACTGAGTTGGCTTGTGGGGCGGTATCGGGTCGAAATGTTGTTAAAATCCTGTGATTCACACCTCAGCAGCTTTCACACGGCTCACTGTGTGTCATGCATTAGAGATGGGCAGCGCCTATAATTATGGCTTAATTCTATCATAAGCTATATATATCATCAGTGGCTTAATTTTATGCTTATCACATGCTATAAGTGATTACGTCACAACATTCTAGTGGTAAAATTTGTATAAATTTATGTTGGGCAATTTTTTTACATTAAAAGTAAGACTAACGGACTAACGTATCGTCACAATTCTTACCTGATAAGATTGTTTCTCAGCTAGTTAAACTCCAAAAAACCTGGAGATATGACATATTAGTGTTCATAACAGTTAATTACTTGCTCTGGGGGGCTATGTATGAGTGGCACAAGTGTATGTGTCACATCGCACACTATAGTAAAATAAACAGAATGTATAACATCAAGCAATTTAACCATGAAAAGTGAACAGAATTAACTTAAATATTTTATGTGAAAAGGTGGAAATATTTTTTTATTTTTACTATTTAACGGTGACGTAATCACTTAAACAGGTTGGTTTGTGGCGAGAATTGGGGGGGGTAAAAATGCGAATGCGAAACATTGAAACACATATATAAATTGATGAAATTAAAGTAATAAAGTAAAATAAATCGATGTAGAACCGAATGCTACATCTCGCTCATCTTCCCGTCGGCGTCATATGCAGTGAGGATTCAAGGCTTCGCGACATCTCCGCTGGAACCCCTGCGCCGTCGTGGCAGCGCAGAGTCAACTTCACCCGTCAACAGAGGGCGCGCCGTCGCACCACGCATCGGCAGGCTCGCGCGCGGCGGGCGTTGCGGGGGCGACGCGCTCTTCGCGGTCAGTCGAGCGGCAGACGCGGACGCCGGTGACGTGAACGGCGGCGACCGGGCGAGGTCAAGGGTCGGCGAGGGACATCAGACGGCGGGATACCCCGGCGCTTGCGCGTCCGCGCCGGCCAGCCGCCTTGACCTCGCAGACGAGCCCCGTCGGCGAACGGCATCGATCGACGTCGCGCGTCGCCGTCGGCGAGCGTCGCAACGAAACGCGCCCGGAGTTTCGCCGCGTTCGCGCTGCCGGACGTCGTCGTCGACGGAGGATGCTGCTGGTCGGCACGAACAGTGCTGGTCGCCGCGGCAACGGACGCGGAAACGGCCCGGAGCGATACAGCGCAGCTTCACGTACACCTCGTCGGCCGAGGCTGCCGGCCGCCGATACTTTGCGGTGGACGCGGGGACGGGCGGCGCTGACCGTTCAACGCCGGCGGCGCAACCGCGGAGCGCGCACCGTCGTTCGACGTCCGTCGTCGCGCGCGACGGACGGGGCTCCCTGCGGCGCGAGACCGGACGGCGCCGACGCGCGCAAGGTGCCGTCGCGACGTCAACGGAGACACGCGCGCGGGAGTTTGCGTCCGCGCGGCAGGCTGCGGTGGCGGGAGGATGCTGCCGCGTCGAGCACATCGTGTGACCGCGTACGTCGCCAGGCGGACGCGGACGACGGAGAGAACGCGCGGGTCACATACGAGAGCCCGTCGCCGGAGATCGCCGGCGGCAACGCAGTGTTCCTGCTCGACAAGGAGACCGGTAGGTGGCCCGGCGTAGCGGCGGGAGCGGACGGCGGATGGTGGAGTTGTGCGCGGGGAGGGCGTCTCGTTGCGGCGTCGTTTTTTTCGGGGGAGGGGGTAACAATCGCGTTACAAAGCTCGTTATCGAGTAAACAAATCAATTGAGTATTAAGACTCCTTTCCGGTGCGCCCGGCTGCAATAGAAAGTAAAAAAATTTAAGTAAGTAAAACGAGAGAGTAAGTAAAGTAAGAAAGTAAAGTCAGGGAGTCGTTTCGCTCAAAGTCTGTACAGACTTGTAACAATCGCGGTCAAAGTGTCGTCCCGAGTTGTGTGACATTTTAGACGTCATACAATGTGAATGACGTCATGTGGACGTAATGTGGGTCGATCATTCGTGTGACGTAGATGTGGTGAATCGTGTGAACGTAATGTGATGACAATGGACGTAATGTGATGACATCGGTGTAAGTCAATGTGGTGGCATCGTGTGACGTAATGTGGTGACATGCGTGTGACGTAATGGATGACATCATGTGGACGTCATGTGATGACATCATGTGAGTATTGTGATGACATACGTGTGACGTAATGTGATGCACAATCGTGTGACGTATCGATGAGCATTGTGTGACGTATGTGGTGACATCGTGGGACGTAATGTGCATGACATTCAAGGGGGGGGGGGGGGGGGGGGGGGGCTGTTAACGTAATGTGATGACATCTGTGTGACGTAATGTGATGAATTGTGTGCGTAATGTGGTGACATCTGACGTAATGTATGACATCGTTGTGACGTAATTGTGGTGACATCGTGTGACGTACATGTGGTGACGTTACGTTGTGTGACCTCGTGACTATGTGTACATGCGTGTGACCGTAATGTGGTGACATCGTTGACGTAATGTGGTGACATCGGTGCTAAGTGTGACATCGTGATGACGTAATGTGTGACGTATCGTGGTGACTGTTGACGTAATGTGGTGAGCATCGTGTGACGTAATGTTGGTGACATCGTGTGACGTAATGTGTGACACTCGTGTGACGTAATGTTGTGAAATCGTGGTGACGTAATGTGGCATGTGACGTTAATTCGTAGGTGTACGTAATGTGATGACATCGTGTGACGTAATGTGGTGACATCGTGTGACGTAATGTGGTGACATCGTGTGACGTAATGTGGTGACATCGTGTGACGTACTCGTAACAATTGTCACGATGTTTCTGACGACGGGACCCTGATTCGCGCGGCAGACGTTCTCGTGTTTCTCTTCGCGGCTCACCGCGAGCACGTTCTCTTGTCATCGCAGGCGTGCTGTCGATCCGGCGACCGCTCGACTATGAGACGGCGTCCGTCTACAAAGCTGACGATCGTCGCGAGCGACGGTGGCGCCCCCCGGCGGACGACGAGTCAGGCGCTGGAGGTGCGGGTGATCGACGTGACGACACTGCGCCGAGGTTCTCGCGAGACGAGTTCCGCGCGCTGCTGCCAGAGGGGCGCTGACCAGCGCCGCTCGTCACGGTCGCCGCCGTCGACATGGACTCCGGTAAGTTCGACGGGAATTCCGGTTTCTTCCGGGATGGAGGGGAGGAAGGGGAGAGTCTTCCTCTTTGGGTTCCTCCCATTAGCATCGTCTTCGTCGCACTGGATCTCCGGCGCGTTGTCGTTCACGTCCACCACGTCGATGACCACCTCGATCGACGTCTGCTGCGGTGGCGCCCCCTGGTCGTAGGCGACCGCCTCGTACTTGTACTGCGCGCTTAGCTCGCGGTCAAGGGGGCGCTGCGTGATGATGACACCTGGTGGCGAGAATCGGGTCGTGAGAATGGCGCGTGGGTCCGTTCAACCTCGGCTTCGAGCGAGTAGGCGTTTTTACGTTACTTTCACACGAAATTCACGTCTAACGTAGATCATCTTGGCTGCATACGTGTGAAATGTGACCGAGGAACGCCAGCGAACAGTTTTGGCTCAGATGAAACGTGCGGCAGCACGCATGCATGAGCACAAACATACACTACATGCCCACCGAAACATGAAATATTATTCGAATCCAACAAACTTTGACATGCGGGCCCACCTGAGATGGGGGAAGCCAACCTAAGTTTGCATTTACACACGTGAGGGAAGCAAGCTTACCCGAGTTAGCTTTAATAATCAATCGCGCACGAGGGTTGTGGTAAGCTTGCTTACCTGAGTTAGCGTTGATCATGAATTGTTTATTAGGAGTACAGGGGAAGCCAACCTAAGTTTGCATTTATACACGTGAGGGAAACATACCTGAGTTAGCATGTTATTCATTGAAGTTGTGTGAGGAAGCTAGCTTACGCTGAGTTAGGCGTTGCATCATGAAGTGCTGTGAGGGAGCTAGCTTACCTGAGGTTAGCGTTGGCCCATGAAGGTGCCGTTGGTTGTCGTATGTGGGGGGAAGCTTATCCTGAGTTAGCAGTGATCATGAAGTGTGGCTGGGTGTTTGCAGGGAAGCTAGCCTTAGCCTGAGTTAGCGCTTTGATCGATGAAGTGTGTGAGGGAAAGCTAGCTTACCTGACGTAGCGTATGATCTATGAAGTGTGTGTGGGAAGCTTAGCTTACCTGAGTTAGCGTTGATCATGAAGTGTGTGAGCCGGATACGCTAGCTTACTGAGTTAGGTTGATCATGAAGTGTGTGCAGGGAAGTGTACCCTGAAGTTGAGCGTTGATCATGAAGTGGTGTGGGGGGAGCTAGCTTACCTGAGTTAGCATTGATCTATGGAAGTGTGTGGGGGAAGTGCCTACCTGGAGTTTAGCGTATGGGATCATTGATGTCGTGTGAGGGAAGTGATACCTGAGTTAGTGTTGATTTCATGAAGTCGTGTTATGGAAGCTTACCGAGTAGCATTGATCATGAATTTGTGTGAGGGAAGCGTACGCTGAGTTAGCATGATCATGATAAGTGGTGTAGAGGGGAGCCTAGCTTTACCTGAGTTTAGGCATTGATCCATGAAGTGTGTTGGCGAGCTAGCTTACCTGAGTTGAGGCATTGGATCATTGAAGTGTGTGAGCGAAAGCATACCTGAGTTAGCATTCGATCCATGAGTGGTTTGAGGGAAGTGGACCTGAGTTAGCATTGATCATGAAGTGTGTGAGGGAAGCGGTACCTTTGAGTTAGGCTTTGATCATATGAAGTGCTGTCGCAGGAATCTTACCTGGAGTTAGCAATTGAAAACATGAATCTGTGTGAGGGAAGCGTACCTTGAGTTAGCATGATCATGAAAGTTGTGTATAGGGGAGCTAGTACCTGAGTTAGCGTGATCATGGAGATGGTGCTCGTTCTTTGGCAGCCCAGCTAGGTACTGCACTGGACGCGTTCTCCCCAGGTCAGCGTCGGTGCTGTGGTTGCTGGCCATAACGAGACGTCCGCACTCTGCCTGCTGCGTTCTCCTTCCACGCTCAACACGCTACCCACCATGTGCTGGAAGAAGAGCAACGTTAAACCTGATAACCTGCGTACAGGCAGGAGGGAGGAGGCCAGGGATGAGATGATATTAATAGATAGATATATACGTGAGACGATCCGCACTCCTTGCCCCGCTGGTTCTCCTCTATGCGTATATGATACCGGGGAGGGGGGAGGAGGGGGACGGAGGAGGATGGATGATGATATAGACGGTATAGACGTGAGGTATATGTCCTCTCCAATCCTCCAACTCTCCTCCGCCCACCCTCCTCTCAAACTCTCTCCAACCCTCCACCCCCTCCTCCCCAACCTCCAACTCTCCTCCTCCTCCTCCTCTCCTTCTTTCCCTCACCTCTCACCTCCTCCCCCTCCTCTCCTCCTCTTCCTGCTCCCTCATCTCTCCCCACCTCCCCAACTCTCCTAAACTCACCCTCCCTCCCAAACTCTCCCAACCTCCCACCAAACCTCCAAACTCTCCTCCCAACTCCAAACTCTCCTCCCAATCTCCAAATCCTCCTCCACTCACCTCCCCAAACCGTCCAGTACCCTCCCCCCAACTCTCTCAACTCCCACCCTCCATCCCTCCAACTCCCACCCAACCTCCAACTCTTTCCTCCCCATACCTCCAACTTCTCCTCCCAACCATCCACCCCTCCTCCCCAACCTCCCACGCCAACCTCCAACTCTACTCCCCAACCTCCCACCCTCCTCCCCAACCTCCCACCGCAACCTTCCACTTTCCTCCCCAACTCAACTCTCTCTCCCTCCTCTCCTCACTCCATCGCACGTACCTCCTCCTGACGCCGGCGCGTGTCGTGACGTCTTCCACGCTAAGCACGGTCAGCGTCCAGCGGCCGCCGTTCAGCTCCGGCACCCGCGGTCCGCCGCCACCACCGTCATGCCGGTTGCGCCCCCTGCCTGGAGCTCTCAATTTCTTTGTTTCTCTAGCGGCGCGCGCCGAACGATAAACACTCTGGCAACCAATTCTCCGGGCTGGCTGCTCGTATAATCAAGCGCACAAATCCCGCGAGAACATCGATATTGGCAAAAAGTATCGCGGCCTATACCCGCATAAACGGCTATATCATTAATTTAGCCTAAACATTACCTTTTAAAACCCGCAGCCAGATGCGCGCATGCCAAAACGGCTGACGGCGCCTCGTTCTCAATGTA